CCCGGGCCAGCTTAGCCAGGGCGTGGGGAGCCCGGAGTGCCGGATCGCAGGGACCCAGAGGCTTCTGTCATTGGACAGCCTATGCAGTCGCCCCTGTGGTTAAACGAAAGTAATCCACCGTGACAACCGCAAAATGCGGCCCGCGGGCTGGCAATTCCGCGTCCCACCTTATAAACAGGCTCAGCCTGGGGTCAGTGGCCTCTCCTATGGGCCTAGCTCTCCCCTGCACCACCACCTCTACGACAGCGCCCAGTCCCCCTGGTGACACATTCTTGCTGCCACCGGGCCTTCTGGGGCTGATGCTACCCTGGCATCCCTATTGGCAGTCTGGGGCTACCTGGCAGGTATCTTCCAGTAGGCTGCTTGAAGGGGCCGCCCTGACTGGGAGATTAGCCCCCGCGTGCCCACGTGGCGCAGCTTCGGTGGGTCAGGCCCAGCCCTGTCTCCCATCCAGTCTCCCAAAATGTTTATCTGTTCACTGAACCACCCAGGCCAGACAGAGTACTGATCCCAAGGGAGAGAGGACAAAGGGTAGGTCCTCTTGGGAGGCCGAAGAGTAGGGGGTCATTGGACAGCCTATGCAGTCGCCTCTGTGGTTAAACGAAAGTAATCCACCGTGACAACCGCAAAATGCGGCCCGCGGGCTGGCAATTCCGCGTCCCACCTTAGCTTAACCCATATCTTGCACGGGGCATGAAATGTGAACATCCTGGATCTCGGGATTCGTGGACTTACTGGGGGCTCAGCTCTGGTTTACCAAAAAAACACACCTATAGCAGCAGAACCCATTAGTCATTCTGAGAAGAGCTCTGCCACTCCATCCCCGCTCCATCTCCCAGGCCGCCAACAGGGAAGACTCGCACTGGCGCCCACGTGTCCCCACGCGCCTTCTGGCCTTGCTGGTCTCCAATGCAGAACCAAAAACTAGAGGGATGGCCCCGTCTGGGACGCCGATTGGCAGAGGAGAAGATTGACGGTTCACGCTACCAGTAGGCTCAGAGCAGAGCAGCCGAAGAAAAGTGAGGATGGATCGTGTTGGAGGCGTGTAACTGCGTCCACGTCCCTGGTCCAAGGGGCCGGCTGACAAGTGGAGACCGGAGTGAGGTGACCAGAACGGACCGGGCATGGGGCCAGGGGGAAGCCAAGGTTCCCGCACTGGGGTTGAGGGCGATGAAGGCAGGGCCGCGAGCCAAAGGGGAGGCACGGACTGTGAGCGCACCAATAAGGAAGAACCTCGGCACCTGCGGGGACCCGGCTGGGGGGGAAGGCGGGGCCCATGTAAGCCCCACCCGGAGCATCAGGCCAACTGGTTAGCACCCGCTGCAGGGGTTAGGCTCCCCTGCTGTCCACCGGATAGAGTCCGGTTAGGCCTGTCCTCTGCCAGTGTGGGAACCGCTGTGCTGACCCTCGGCTGACCTCGTTTGACCATATGTCTCCGAAGACTTTGGGCCTCTCAGCTCATGCCTAGCTATCTCAGCGTCAACCCTGTCCCGGGCTGACCCGCACAGCACAGCCCCACCCCTCATTTCCTCAACTTGACAGATCTTCTCCAGAGCCCCGGGTCTGTGGGTGGCTGTAGAAGCCTCTCTGACCCTGGATACCTCCTCCCCAGATGCGAGGTGGGGGGAGGCACCTATCCCCTGAGTCTGAGGGTCAGGATGTGGGCAGCAGGCTGCAGCAAGGGATCAAACCTCACACTCTCTCCAATCCCAGTTTTCTCCACTGGTATCAAGAGTGCTTGCTGGTGGCTGTTAGGCCTGCCAGGGCAGCAGGAACCCCTGCAGGGAGAGTAGGGGCACCTCAGGCCATAGGACTGCAGGCCCTGCTGTACCTGCTCTGCCCGTTCTAGAACCGCGCTGAGTTGGGCCTGACTTCAGGCTGGGGTCCCTAGCTCCTCCAGTTCCCGGGGTAGAGTAGATTTACCTCCCACAGGAGAAATGACAAATGCTGTCTTGGGGGGAGGGGTGCTCCTGGGGCTTGGAGCCCTGTCGGGAAGAAGACAACTCTTGCAGAAGAGGACACTGGTGTACCCTATGGAAAGGCAGCAATGTGCCACCAGGGCTGTGTGAGCAGGCTGCCACTCAGTGCTGGGCCTGTGCCTGTCCACCCCACCCCACCCCACCCCTGCTCCCCAGGACGTCTCCAGAGCCCCTGCAGTTCCGGCCCAGCCCTGGATACATCACCCAACACTCCAAGTCTATCAAGAGTGGCATTTATTCTCCTCGTGGAGGTGCGGTGCTCCGGGGAGCTGGTGCTATTGTGCTTAGGAAGGAGGTCTGTCCGTCCGTCCGTCTGTCCGGCCGGCCTGGCCCCAAATGGGGGCGGAAGAGGGGCGCGGCCCGAGTAAAAATCCCGGCCTGTTCCGGGTGGGAGTATGTACAAGGCGGCGGGGCGC